CGGCCTGGAGGGGTAATCAGTTCCTCGATTATTCAGTTTAATTGTTATCTTTTCAGGCTGGCAGGATAAAGTAGGTTCATCGTGTCTAATAGTGTTGATCCTGACTCATGAATTCTTATTCAAACAAAAAGGCCTTTTTATAACTATTATTGTGACTGAAGAACACTAATCACTGCGTTATCACCTCTTTCTGGCAAAGTACCAGCTGTTCCATGCTCATTTTTTTATAGCCATTGTTTAATTTGTACGAGTGTTTTTGCCCAGTTTTTGAGGGATGCCAATAATAGCAGTGGAGCTGTGTATACATACATACACACACACACACACACACACACACATATATATATATATATATATATATAGTTGTGGATCGCTCTCAACACTGTAGTGACACTGACGTGGTGTCGTAGTGTGTGCTGCGCTGGTCTGAGTGGATCAGACACAGCAGTGCTGCTGGAGTTTTTAAACACCTCAGTGTCACTGCTGGACTGAGAATAGTCCACCAACCAAAAATATCCAGCCAACAGCGTCCTGTGACCACTGATGAAGGACTAGAGGATGACCAACACAAACTGTGCAGCAGCAGATGAGCTGTCATCTCTGACTTTACATCTACAAGGTGGACTGACAAGGTAGGAGTGTCTAATAGAGTGGACAGTGAGTGGATACAATGTTTAAAAACTCCAGCAGCACTGCTGTGTCTGATCCACTCAGACCAGCACAACACACACTAACACACCACCACCACATCAGTGTTACTGCAGTGCTGAGAAACATCCACCATCCAAATAAAAAAAACACCTGCTCTGAGGTGGTCCTGACCATAGAAGTATGCAGGGGGGGATTTACATATACATATACATATATATATATAGATATATAGATAGATATATTTGACACACAATCACACATATGTCAAATCTAATATGGTCCAATATTCCAAAATGTCACGCATGATTTTCCTTGCTATAACATAAATTTAATAGGACATTCTGCATAAAACCCTGCTATTTCCTGAATTCTCTGCCACAAAAAAACCTGATCCAGCTCAAAAAGGGTTTGGTAATTAGCTGATGAGCTGGATGAGGCGATTTGGGGTAAAAATCATTGGGCGGTGGTCTTCAGGGGGTCTGCAGGACTGAAGTTCTTTAAAATTAGCCATTTCTCTTCAAACCACTTGCAATGACTTTGTTCACATCTCTACCATTAAATAATTCAGACATTTTGAAAATTCAGTAGAACTCCTTTCAGAATTGGAAGGCAGTTATTATGAACATCAAATGTTTGATCGACAGCACTTCAATTTTCTCTGTGGTTTTGTGACCAGTTATATAAAAGAAAATGATACACCAATGTGCCAAAACCTTATGACCACTCACAGATGAAGTGAGTAACAGTGATTATCTTGTAAAACAGGGCATTCAAAGTCTGGGATATATTAGACTGTAAGCAGACAGTTGGTTCTCATAGTCAACGAGTTGGATGTGAGAGAAATGGACAGGCGTGAAGAACTGAGGGCCAAATCGTTATGGCCAGACAACTGGGTCTGTCATCTCTGAAACTGCAAGGCTTGTGGTGTGCTTCCAGTCAGCAGTGCTAAATACCTACCAACAGTGACCCAAGAACAGAAAAACCATGGACCGGCGACAGGGTGTTGGGCGACCAAGGCTCATCAATGTGCGAGAGCAACAAAGCCTAACCCATCTGGTCCGAACCATCAGAAGAGCTGCTGAGGCACAAGTTATAGAAATTTTTAATGATGTTATAGGAGGAATGTGTCACAACACACAGTGCATCGTACCATAGCCACAGGCCAGTCAGAGTGCCCAGGCTAACCCTTTGTGAATGTCAGAACTGGACCGTGAAGCAATGGAAGAAGGTGGCCTGGTCTGATGAGTCCTATTTTCTTTTAAATCACATGGATGCCCAGGAATGTGTGTACCGTTTGTCTGGGGAACTGATGACACCAGGATGCACTGTGGGAAGAAGACATGGCAGTAGAAAGAATGTAGTGCTCTGGTGTTCTGCTGGGAAACCCTGGGTTAATGTGGACATCAAGGTACACTTCTTCATGGCCTCTATCAGCATCATAGTGCACCCTGCCACACTGCACTCATTGTTCACAAATGCTTTGAGGATTGTAGTGGTGTTCAAGGTGTTGCCATGGCCTAAATTCCCCAAATCTCAAGAACCTGTGGGACGAGCTAGAACAACAAGTCAGATCTGCTGTGGCTCCACCTCGCAACTTACAGGTCTTAAAAGACCTGCTTCTAATGTCTTAGTGCCAGATACCACAGGGCACCATCAAAGATCTTGTAGAGTCGATGCCTTGGCGGGCTGGAGCTGTTCTGGCAGCATATGGAGGACCAACAACATACTGGGTAGTTGGTCATAAGGTTTTGGCTCACTGATGTAGTTGAACCATGCTCTGACGTCAAAACAGTAAGGCTTGATCCAGTTCAGTCGTGCAAACTGTAGCGGCTACACCGACCGGGACAAAATCTGCTACTCTTAAGTGTTGGACATAACAGCATCCCTCTGGAGCTACACACATGGAGATGGATTAGATGATAAAACATCTCTCAGATATTGCATTCAGCAACCCACTCAATCTGTTTGTGCTCTATTTTCACATTTTGCTTTAAAAGTGTGCCCAACTCCGGTCTTGCTGACACAGCACTCCAGATTTGCCACAGCAGCACTGGATGAATTGCAAGTTCACAACAGAAATTGGGCCAAATGTGACTCTTTAGGACTTACAAATCACTTTTATGAAGGCCATGCACTCTAGATTTGTCTGACTGAAGGATCCGCTGGCCCTGAGAGAACAGAACGAGCTCCAAGTGAAGGAGATGCATTGAGAAACTGTGATTATGAACAGTCCGCTCAAACAGCATGGATACACTTAAGGTAATGACCCCCCGAAGGCTGAGCTGCTGTATCATAAGTCTTTTTCCTGCTATTCTTCTCACTGGGTAAGTCCCTTTGCTCCAACAACACAGCATCAGCACAGATACTGAACAAAGCCCAGTAATCAAAATATTCTGCTCAAAATGACAGGCAAGATTATATCACTCACGTCTATTTCAACAACTGTTTGAAATAATAAACGAACAACCACCTTTGCTTTCCAAAAGAACTCTTCAATGGATGGTTCTTTAGTGAACCATTTTTGTAAATCACATTTTTGAGTGTAAAGAGCCTTTTTTTTTTAAGTTTAAAGAACTTCCACATAATAGGAAGAACCTCTAGGTAGAACCCTTTGATTGTTACAGAACGTTTACACTCTTAAAAATAAAGGGGACAAAAGGGTTCTTTGTGCGACGCCATAGAAGAACCACTTTTGATTTTCATAAAGAACCTTTCAATGCATTTTTCTAAATGACAATTCTGAGTGTGAAGAACCTTTTTAAAGTTCTCTAAACTTTTAAAAGATGCTTCACACTCACTTTATCTCACACTATGTTTTCAAACCAGATTGCTTAGAGAACCAAAAGCGCTTCTTCTTTGGCATCGCACAAGGAACCCTTTGTGGCACCCTTGAAAAGTGAGCAAAATAAACCATCGTGTTGAGATACAAGTCATATTTCTTTATATACATGAAAAAAATTTATAACTTCAGCCTGAAAAGGTCAGCCTCTAATGAAATTGAACCATTTACTTATAGTACCTATGGTATAGTAAATGTAGTGACTGTTGCCCCGTCTCTATATTGAAATATATATAAAAAAAATAATATTAACCAGTATCATGTTTCACCCCCCTTTCGCAAAACTCTGACCAGGGTACAGCTTAATCACAGGCCCTCCTTGATACCACATTTTCCTTGGAAATGCGTCACAGTATGGAAGGAAAGTGTCACGATTTCCCATTCAAATTGACTTTAAAACAAATCCAGTTATATGACTATCAAAAAAAACAATTAGTTTTGCAGTTAAGACCACTACAGGTCTGAGTCACAGCCAAGACCTGGATACGAGTCTGAGTCAAGATCAAGACTTTGTAATAGTCCAGTTTGAGTCAGGAGACCAGGAATGGCCATAACCAAGACAAGACAGAGACCAGGAATGGCCAAAGACCAAGACCAGACAGAGACTAGGAATGGCCAAGCCCGAGACAAGACGGAGACCAGGAGTGGCCAAAGACAGAGACCAGGGGCAGCCAAAATTGAGACAAGACAGAGACCAGGAGCGGCTGAGACCGAGACAAGACAGAGACCAGGAGTGGCCACAACCAAGACAAGACAGAGACCAGCAGTGGCCAAGATTGAGACAAGACTGACATCAGATTACAATTTTTTTCTGAAAAAGGTGAAAAAAAAATGTAATTTATTTATAGCTCACTGTACATACATGTATGATGAATATTACACCTATTTTATGTTAAAAATGTAACAATTAGTGCAATTATTAAATCATAGTCTTACTCCAGCTTTGCATTGTAACTTGTAAAAGCAAATGATGGTGAAGTTTTTCTATGTCCCATCTTCTTCAGAACTTGACCACTCTATAACCCAAGCAACATTAAACCATTTTTATTACTAGACCACTGACCGGCCACACACAGCACACCTCGCATGTCATCGGCTCCACTTACCATATAGGAGCGCTTTGTATTTCACAATTACAGACTGTAGTCCATCTGTTTCTCTGCATACTTTCTTAGCCCTTTTTACCCTGTTCTTCAGTGGTCGGTGCCAGTGTTATTCGGATGGTGGATCATTCTCAGCACTGCAGTAACACTGACGTGGTGGTGGTGTGTTAGTGTGTGTTGTGCTGGTCTGAGTGGATCAGACACAGCAGTGCTGCTGGAGTGTTTAAACACCTCAGTGTCACTGCTGGACTGAGAATAGTCCACCGACCCAAAATATCCAGCCAACAGTGTCCTGTGGGCCAACTTACCCTGCGGCCGAGACAAAACTGAGTCCAAACGATGCTGAGATTAAGACCGTTAATGCACTCTCTCGAGAACGGACTCAAGCACTACAACACTAGAGAGTATCACTGTGTGGTTCCATTAGATCTTTATTCAGCAATGCATTTCTTCTCAAAAGCACTTTGCAATACATAGTGAACTGCTGTTTTCCATGATAAATGTACTGCATACATCAAACATTCATGCCAAAAAAAGAAAAAAAAGAAAAAAAAAAAATGTATGGAAACCTTTAAACCTGGAAGTCTTTATGTAGTGAAAATAAGATACAAAATAGGCCTTTAAGTAACCATGACAATACAACACAATACTACCATTAAAGTACATTAGTGCATCTAAGCATTGAATGTTAACATGATCACTGAAAATGATACAAAATCTTAAAAAGGCAAAAGTATGAAGCTACTTTTTTTCTTCTCCATCTTTAAAAATAAACAAACAAAAAAATAGGAGTCTGATAAGCTGGAAGATGGAACATGCCATCTCGATACAGATTCTGCTGACGTGGAAACGGCTCCACAGGATTACAGAGACTAGACAGAACCTTTTTTATTTTCACTCAACTTCTTTAAAGACTCAGCATGATTTGAAACACTGTTGGTAAACAAGATGGAAGTTATAGCAGAACAGAACTGTGATCCCAATCTTCTAAAGGCGTGAACTACAAGCGCAGAACGATACAGTGTTTTGGTAAATAGTTCTCAGGCTACAAACTTGTTTTTCCTTGTGACAAAAGGTAAGACGAGTGAAAGAAAAACTACCATAAAAACCTAGTTTCCTACTTGCTGGTAACCATAGAAAAAAATTCTCTTATACCTCTTCTTGGCTTTATATTAGATTGTACACCCTAGTTCAGTCTATTTTTTTAATTAAAAAGATGAAAAACATAAATAAAGACAGTAAAAAGGTAAAACAGCACCTTATCCCCAGAAACTAGTTTAATTTTTTTTTTTTGGAACAACACAAATCAATGGTTATTAGCAGACTCTTCCGTCAACGCCTCGTAATACAGCCACAAAAACACAGCAGGACTTCCATTTTAAGACAATGAGGGTAAGCTGTATTGACCGGCCTTGATCTTCCATCCTTAGTACTTCCACCAAATATGTGACAATAATACTCAGCCTGTATACTGTAGTATAGCTGGTCTGTAGACTATCACATGCAAGTACCAGAGTGAATGGAGGTCGATGTTACGTGTTGTTTTGCAATGTATTCTAGTTTCACGCATGATTTTAAAATCATGGCTTAGGAAAAGAAAAAAAAGAGGGGATTTCACTTAATGTAGATACTACAAAATTCCAAACTCTAAATGGCAGCGTATGGGTCTCAGGCAGTTTTGACAATAAAGTGACGGGTTTTAGTGTTCAAGACGTTTCTTTACCGTCACCACGCTGGCTGAACACTCACACTGATCACTGACACTGCGGCTACAGATGCGTTTGCGGCAGGCCATATAGTACAATACATTAGAAAGAAAATGGAGGAAAAGTGGCAAGTGGCAAGACGTTTGAGGCTTGCAAATGAGGGCTGACACTAAGAAAGACCATACAGATGCTCATTAAAAGCTGTATAGAAAGAACTGGCATGAAATGAATCCTTGCGCTGGGCCTGGCTCTCCAAACCTTGCAGTGTTCCACAGATTTTTCAAAATCTCTGAATAACTAAACGGTTAAGATTTAAACAAAGTCATTCAGAGTGGTTTGATGTGAAATATGCCATTCTAGAAGCTCCTTCACAACACATTACCCCATGAAACGGTTGTGAATACACTGCCTGATGGCTGAGACACAGTTTAGGCCTAAAACACATTTTAAAGCCATTCAAGGTAGAGAGGTACATGCAGGGAGTTGTGAGGCAAAATAGCCGACATAGAATTTTTTATTTTCAGATTTACCACTATTTTACCGTCGACATCACATAGAAAAACTGAGAAGATACTTCCGAAAGCAAATAAACGTGGCTACATTTGTGTTGTAGACACTGCAACCCCTGGTTCCTATCACCACCACTGTAGAGGAATCTCTAGGGGGTCATATAATTTCCCTATGACGCACCATTTCACATGAAATCACTCTGAATTATTTTGTTTATATCTAAAAGATTGAATTGTGGAGAAAATTTAGGGGAAAAAAAATCACTGGAATTCCCCTTTAAAGAAACACGCCAGTGTTTTTCAATCTAATCTCTCTCCCATATTTATATTGTACAGCTGATGACTGCATACAATTTCCTTGTACAGAAAGCCCATCTACTCAGAACACAAAAGTCAACGGGCAGGTGCGTGTTTTGGTTTTTCTGTTCTTTTACAGGGAAACGTGCTGACGTGAATGACTGTATGTGCCAGCAAAAAGAGATTTGGTTGGATGCTAGAGTATCCATTTGAGATCATAAGACTAGTAGAGTGGTTGTAGCTCTCAACCGTCTCTAATATTTCAGAAAGCCAAAAGCCCTCGACAGTAAAAAAAGAGCATAACAAGAAATGGTTTCTCCAACAATGTAGTGAATAAAAGAACAAAAAAATCTGAGGACAAACAGAATATTTAACCTTGAGGCATTGAATACATTTGAGTCCAGGTTGGGTAAAAGGAAATTAAAAAACAACAAAAAAATAATTAAAATAATAAAGAGAAAGAGTTAACATAACACTGATGACTCTTAGCTTAAAGTGAGCCACAGAAAGCCTTGCAAGACGCGGGAGCCGGTACTGTGGATGAAGAGCGAGGAGGTGACGGAGCCGGAGCTCTAGTAGAGCAGGATCCGCCGCTCGATCGCCTTCCGGCAGATGGGGCACTCGCTCATGCGGTCGCCGCACAGCTGGCACGTGCCATGGCCGCACATGAAGATCATGTTCTTCAGCCGATCCAGACACACCGGGCACATGGTCTGAGTGGAGACAATACACATGGTCAGGACTGACATGCTTTTGGTTCTATATTTATTATTATTTATGACTCTCCTCTTACAGTTGTGCCACAACAGTCCCAAGAGTGAGATTTTCCGGTTTAAACATCAAGAAAACACCCTTCAGATGTGTCTTGAAGGTGGAAAGAACTTTTGATAAACTAGTACTTTGGGGCAAATACTAATACAGAAGGAAGCCAGAGGACTAACATTACTGCTAGGAAGCTGAATATCATGTTTACATTTATTAGTATCTACAGTGCATTTTTTCCAAACTGATGGATGAAAAAGCAAAACAGACACAAAACTGTCAACCGCGCCAAAGTGATGATGCTGAGGGCTGCAATCCTGCACTACAGAATATTACCATAACATGACAACACACATTTAATACTAGCTGTAGGCTGGAAGACTCTTTTAAATTCAGTATAAAACTCTAACTTGCAAAAAACTGCACTACAGAAGCAACTGCGTTAGCATCAAATTACTTTCCTCCCAGATCAGTTAAGAATAAAGGTAAACGCAGGGGCTCGGCCAAAACTGGATTTACAAAATTACCCACCGCAGTAAACTAGCTTAGATATATTTACTTCTTCAGTTTTGCACTGAAGCTACAATGTAGCTAACAAGTAACGGAAATCACCATTGAATCATTGAAGTGAACCCAAATAGACTGTGTTATCTACAAAAACGTAGCTGCTAGAGTTAAACGGTCTATAACAATACATTTTTCTTTTATTTTACTTATTCCTGATATCCACTTAAGACATTTTTGTGGTTTTATATACCAAAACCAGTCATAATTAATTTTTACATAACCTCTCTTTATCCCTCAGAATTAAACAGGCTGTCTGTGTTACTGTAGCTTTAAGACTGATATATGTAAATGATCTCTGATCTGACTGTTCTGTATTTGGCCTAATACAAAAAGCAGGCTGAAACAGTCCTTATAACTTCAGTGTGAATGGGTGGAACAAAACTGCTGTAGGCTGAATAGGCAGACATGTGTTCATGCACTTGTTTTCTGGTCACAAAAACCGTGAAATCGAAATGGGTTGTTTTTGCAGTTTAGTTTCCATATATGGAAATAATGTTTATATATTACTCGAAAGTCTTACTTAAAAAAGTGAGAATCATTTTTCCATGATATGGGCTATTTATAATAAACAACTATAGAGTGAATAGAAAGAAATACTTGTCCTCTAAACACGTCTTCATTACATTAGTACATTATTGGAGAAACAGCTTCTCCCTCCCATTCAAAAGCAGTATAACAAGAGAAATAGGCTGGCCTGAACCTGGAATCATGTAAGGCCCTTTATTTTCTACCTGCTCTTTGATGTCCTGCAGCTGCTGCTGGAGCTTCTGCACGTCTGCGTTGACATTAGTGTTGTCCTTGTCCCTTTGCAGAGCTGGGATATTTCCACTGGCTGCAAAGAAAAGATGGGTATGTGTTGAGAAATCTCTCAGGATTGATATCACCCTCCGGCTAAGAGACACCACCTACTGAAAGAAGGTGGCCGCTAAACCATGGGGCTTCAAGCACAACCCTGACCAGAGGAGTATTTTCTTTATAAACCCAGGTGAGGTAAATAACTGAGGGCTCATTATAAAGGCTGCTGCTTTCATTTATAGACTTTATAGCCTGATTTAAATGCGGTTCATTTCCGATCCCACTTCAGAAAGCTTCTCTGGGTAGCAATGAAGCCAGTGTAGTCCTTGCAAAGCATAAACTGTACACCTGAATTGTGTACAGTCACGTTCAAAAGTTAATTTGACTGAATTGAGACCCAGCACTCAATGGCCTCACCAACTAACAAAGAGCAGAGTGGCCAGTCCACCACATGTAGAGAGTGCGAAGGCCCTGAGGAGCAGGAAGGAAGTTTGGAAGGTACAGAGCTAAAGTGGGGGGTAGGAATGGAATACTTACACCAACTTAGCGCCAGATTGTTGGGCTGGAGAAGATCCTGCGACCCCCCTGCCATTGAGTTAGAGCCCCCTGCTGAGAAGCAACCAGTCACAGTGTTACGTAATGCATGCTGCCCCGCAAAAAAAAACGGTCAGGGCCAACCTAACCTGGCCTACAGCACAGTCTCAGGATGTACTCGTTAGCGGGAGCAAAGGAAAGAGCAGGTTAAAATGATCGCTTCAGTGACAGCTGTTAAAGGAGGCAAGGTGGCAGGTCTGTTTCGCTGCAAGGACCTCACAACGGTGGGCCAAATACAGAAAACAGTTGCTGATCAACAGCAGAAACTGCTGCGAAAGCAAGGAATCGCTCGTTCAGGCAAAAGCAGCAGTAAAAAGTCAGAGAGACCAGGGGCATCACAAGCAGCTGAGGGGATCATTTGTTAGCAAATTCCAAAATAAATGCATAAATAAATAATACTAACCAGGAGGTTTATGGAAAGCCTAAGACCTGTTTCCAAAGGGTGATATTACTCAATGAGAATACAGGCGAAATCACAGGGTTATAAAACTTAAACCTACCTTCATGTATAGATTACTAGTATTTGGGTTTAGATCAACAGGTTGAAAGAAAAAAACTAACACTAGCTGTCAAGTAATCCTCTATTCCCTCTATGGTGTTTTTCAAGGTGCTGTGTTCATCATATCAACTTCTGGGTTGAGGGGTCCCTCAAATGTAAATGGTAAAGTGCTCTGGTCTGGCTGAAGTGTGTCTGGGTATGTGACCGTGGCCACTCTACAGGCAGAGTCCAGCGGTCATTGCTGGAAAGAATCCCATTTTACTTATTTATAACCCTTTTAACTTCTGTACTAACTCACAGGGAGATGGAGAGAATGCAGCGGACAATGGAGTATATTCAGAAGTCTGGAAAAAATCCAACATGCATGCTTAGATAGTTGTTTTTTTGAGTACTGTATTGCCCAATGGATGCAATGCAAACCACTGGAAAAAAAACTGCTGTTCAAACACAGCTAGAAACCTGTTTAGGGTTGCCAGATTGGGCAGGACCCCTGCTCAGTACTTTGCTATGAAAATCAGTGATGTTTCTGCATTGCCTTGTACTGCAATTAAGTTTGTTAAAACAAATGAAAAGAACTGAACAGACAGAAATTCAATTGCACAAATTAATAATAAATTATTCCAATAGTTTATAATGATTAATAAAAGAAAACAACAAAAGCAACATTAAGAATAAAAAAGTTTTCCATTTATATATTAAAGTGAGACATGCCTTGAGCTTCTTTTATTCCTCCAAAATATTCAATTAGAGATAATATTCAACAGAACATTCGAATATGAAAATGTGTGAAAGTTGCAGCCCTAATTTGGTGGCATTTCTGAAGGAGCCTACAAGGCCACAGCTTGATATGACATACGTCACCTCACTTCCTGTCAGTACAGAATGGCATGTAATATGTAAATATTGTGCATACTTACCCTACCACAGTCTCACACTATTAAGATATGTGCCTTACAGCATGAGTTGTTTATATATGATTGAGACGAAGCAAGAGTTTGTTTATGAGTTGTAGCATGAAAAGAAAAAACTGATCTGTTTCTGTGGGACAACGCTGTCCAACATCATATTCAAAAACTAAACAATACTAAGCATGTATGTTGGATTTTTTTGGCTATGGATGTCATTTTGCTGGGCTTGAAGCTCAAAGTGGCCCCCTATGACAAACAGAACCCTGGCATGGTGAGGGGGTTGGGGGGAGATAAGAGTTACAAGTTGCATTCCTCTGTTGAATGTGTGCCTGTGTTCCCGACTAGGTCACTAGGGGATGTCAGCATAGAAGAATCTGTCTGACATCTAAGCGTGGCTACAAAGAAACAGACCCCTCTAAAAATAAAAACTGTATACAAGTGAACTTACACCAGTATCCCTTTGAACTCAAACTAAACCAACAAAAAAGATCAAAGGGAGGACCATGAGCACTGTATCGATGAGAAGCGATGGTGAAAACAAACTGAAGACAAAAACCTCATTAAACCAACAAACCTGAAGTCACTGTACAAACGCTGGATTAAATTAAAGTTAAAAATAAACATAACTAAAAAAAAAATTCCCTAAAAGTAGTTGTCATTGTTTGCCTAATGACCCTAAGGGCCTGAACTGCTACTACCTTATCAATACTACTTCGTTATGAAGACATTCCAGAGCTGCTGCTCAGCTCATATTTGTATAATTCAACTGCCATGTTAGTCATAACAATGAAGGGGGGAAAACATGGGCATGAGCAAAAGCAAGAGAGAACGAAGCAAACAAGGCCAACATAAACACTGAAACATGAAAGTGCTGAGAATGAAAGAAAAAAAAAAGATCCAGGTGAAATAATAAAAGAAAGTAAAGGGAACTTGTGGAAGTTCACTCACTAAGGTCCTCATCATCAGTGGCATCCTCCATACCTTTCCCTCCACAGCACAAGACGAAAGGCGTGCGCCGCTCCACCACCGCCCGACACTGCACACACTTCTTCATCAGGCTGGCACAGTCTGCAGCACACGCACACAGAAAAATACAAAAACAAACAGGGTGAGGGGTTGTAACCCCGAGACACCTCATTAGCAACTAACAATGAGGTACACGCACTCCAACGTCAGAGGTTATAAACACATGCCTTGGGCTCTGGAAAGGAACATGGTTGGTTGGGTTTATACCAACTATACGATGTACCCATGCGTGCAATTCAAAATCATTCAAATCAACACTGTTCTATCAAAACCACATATTCCCACATTTTCATTTTCTTTCCAAAAAACACCATTTGAAAAGCTCTTTACATTGAGTAAAAAATTTGTGATGAATGAACTGACAAAAATGGTCCAAATTTATTTGGTATAAAACCTGGATATGTTAATACATATCGCTGCTGTCAGAACAAAACACCTTATCTCCAAAATGGTAACTTTACAGGAGAAGGAAAAAACCTACTTTACTTATAACGTAAGTCAATGGAACCAGACGTTTTTTCCAAGTCATTTTGGGCTGTTTCTGTTTGTTGATTCACCATGAAATTTACATACAATGTAAAGACCAGCAGGTATTTTTCAAATTATGTCAAAAACTGAAAAACAACAAAAATGGACATGCAAGGTTTTGTTCTGACAGCAGCAATATTTAAGTTTCTTCATACCATTTCAGGTTTTGATATAGTGACAAAGTGTGCACTGCAAATCTTCAGTAATTAATTATTTAATAAAAATGTTTTTCAATCCAAGGTTTCCGTAAAAGGAATAAACATATCTCAATATATCTTAATATGGTATTGCCTCCCGTTTATAAAAATATTTAACATTATAGAAGTGCAAAATCTAAAAAAAAAACAAAAAAAAACAAAAGCTATGCTTTTAAGGGGCTTGATTTGACACACTAACCACAAGCCAACAAGTTAATCACGATACAACGATACAAAATACTGCAATAAAAAATTGCAGCATCTCTAATAAATAATATAAATTAAGAGTATAAAAGTCCACATTTCATTTCCATAACAAAAAATGACTATTCAAACTGGAAACTAAATAAGAACATTCAAGCATGGTATAGGATTTACTGGGATATGTACAATGCTCCCAAAATAACTAAAAAATCTCAAGCAGTGAAGTAGAGATCACTGTGAGCCTCTCCAAGGTATTCAAAAGAACTTTTCTACTGTAATCAGGGTTGAGAGGCAGAAGGTGCATGGTGAGAAGTTAGGACTGAAGCTAGCTGTAAGCAGTGCTGTCATTCACTCCACGCCCTGAAATACTGAGGGAGTAAGGTGTCACATGATGAGGTGGTGGCGGTGATGGTGCACAGAAGGGATAAAGAGGAATGTGAGAGAGAGTAATAGGGAAGTGTGGGAAGTGTGGAGGGGCGAGGAGATGGCTGACTTACTCTCACACGCGCACATGTGACCGCAGGGCTGGAAGAGGACGGCTGCTTTCTTGTCCGAGCACACCACGCATTCCTCAATCTGAGGGAAGAGCAGAGTGACCTTACTGTCAAATATGCGTTCATACATACTTGCGTATGTACACACGTCTTTTTTGGAATTATATACAGGACATAAGATTGAACATAAGCAATTAAAAAAATCTTGCAGCTGCTGTTTTTACTGCCTCTTCCTCTGTCATTGAAGAATAAAAAGCCTGGCAGCTTTTTTATTAAACTTAAGATCTACTTTATGTTATATGTGTTTTATAGAGTCAAGAAATCTGCAGTTTTATCGTCTGTTATCTTGGCACAGCTGTCTTTGTGGAAATAATTGTTTTCAGAGCAGGAGGATTTCAACCCTCTTTATGTACCCATAATTGCTTGCTAGCAGCTCAACACAGCTCGCAACATTTCACACACAGAATGACAACAGTGTCCTAGTTAATCTGACAACAGAGTTACAGGGAAAAATATTTTATTTCATCATATTAATGAAAAATATCCATGTTGATTTCCACTGCTCCAGAAGAATGGCCACTAGGGGGCAAAAATAACCCAAAGTGGGGAAAATATTTTATTCATATTTTATTTCATTATATTAATTAAAAACATGTCCATATTGATTTCCACTGCTCCAGAAAAATGGCCAGTACGGGCCCTAAATAACCCAAAGTAACTATTCAAGTAGTTTTTCAATAAACATGTTGCGTCCTTCTTGACTGATTTGCTTTATTAATACTTAGATTTAATTTAATCATTATTTTAGTAGCAATACTCTATGCCTGCTACTATGAAGTGTGGTATTACCAACCTTTCTGAAATCTAAGGTAACTCGAAGTTAATGTAGACTCTAAGCTATGTTTAATTTATGGAAAACACCACATTTTTCTTAGACAAAGTGCAGTGAGGCCCCATGGACGATAAGGCCACATGGACGATAAAGCTCCATGGACGATAACGCTCAGTTTCAGGACGCAGCCTTCACCCATGGTTCATGCTGTTATGAGTGAAATGTGCACATCACCAGCTAGTGAGAGGCTTCAACTTCAACTGCTGCTTACACTAGACTGAGTTACAGAACATCATAGCCATAAACATTTTTTACAACCAAACAGATAAAGTGAAAGGACTGCACTGGACAATTGCGGTACCTTGGTCCTGGACTGGACCTGTTCCTTACAGATGAGACACTTCTTGACTCGCGGTGAGCAGAGAGAGCAGGTGGCGATGTGGCCGCAGGGACCGAACAGTGTGTCCCTCTTCATATCTGAACAAACCATACACTCCTCCAGTGTCTCATTGTTGCTGTTTAGAGACGGGCTACGGGAGCCCACCTGACCACTGAGGGAGGAGAAGCGTTAAAGGACAGAAGGGGAAACAGTAAAAAAGGAAAAAAAGAAGCAGGGAGTAGAGGAGAGAGAAAAGGTAAACGTCAAACAAAAGATAAATGAAGGGAAAGGAAAACATGACAAGTAGTGAAGATGGAGGAGGGGATGAAGAAAAGAAAACAAGATGAGACGAGAAAAAGAGACAAGGAAGCAGATTAATACCAGAAGTGTGTGACTGAAATTCGCCAATATATTCTCCAAATGTTAAGACCAAAAAATAAATAGATAAAAACGCTAACATTACATTCATCCACCACTGTAAGTCGTTCAAGATAAGAATGTCTGCCAAATGTCAATATTTACATTAACTGTTATGTCTCATTAGCTACGTAATGGCTGTGCAAAATAAATCACTGACTCTTCTTTAAAGTGTTCACTGGACTTTAGATTATACTGTGAATTTATTTAAAACTGCAGAAAGCCAAATTACTGGATTATTATTATAACTGGATCCAATTGGATTGGACTGGATTATTACTGGTATCAGCCACATAATTTAGCCCCAGAAATGACGTTTAATTAGAGTTAACTACTGCAAAGAGCACATAAAAGACGTCCTGTAGAACCTTCTTTCACATCTGATCAGGACTGAATGTAAGTACCTGGTCTTCTCCTTGTGACACTTGGCCAGTGCCTTGCAGAGGCTGGGGTCAGGGCACAAGTCCAGGGGAGACTGGCCTTTCTTGTTGCGGATGGTGAGGTCGGCTCCATTGGCGGCCAAGAAACAGGCGATGGAGGCGGCACTCTTCTTCTCTGCTCCTTGAGTTCCCAGTCCCATGATCAGCTATGGAGAAATACAAACACAAATCACAAAAAATCAGCACAGAAGGCATTTAGTTAGACAACTTTATGCTGGAGTTTTAATCAAGCTTGAAATTTTTATATAAATCTGAGTAAAGCGACAGTGTTAACAGGCAACAACAGCAGCGGTCATCAGAGAGGGGGGAAAAAAACAAAAGAAAAAAAAACACAAAAACAAAAAAGCCCAATTATCATGAAGTTTAAATCCCACTTTAATGAAATTATCAACTAATGCCTAAACGCTTCTAGCCTGGATATACTTTAGCTAGACTGATACATTGTTTTCGTATTGGTTGTGTAGATCTTCTTGTAAACATGAGGCCACAAAAATTATTTTAAGGCCTAGTCTCTCAAGCCTGACTTCTGCCTATCGTCAGATGTGTTTCATCCCTTCATGTGGCCAAGAACCTCCTACCACACTGACAAGAAATGATTATTTAACTGACAGGCAAAATAAACCAACCACAGAGTGTTGTTTCAGTATGATGTGTAGGGGCAGGCAATTTCTTAAAGGGGCTACAACAAAATCACACCAAACAAAAAACAAACAAACAAGAAAACTCTTAAACAACGTCTTAAGATGTTGTGCCACGAACCTCATAACACTTTATCAAACACAGCATGTATATGCTCCAAAAGCCTCAATAATGGCATGCAGAGCAAGCAAGGCAAATGGTCATGAAAGTGTTTCTCCCACCGAATAAAACCCACTGCACAAAAATAATCAGAATGGAATCAACAATCACAATAGCTGTGGCCAGCTTAGTGTTCAATAGATATCAGATGCTCAGTTTACATGTGATCAAAGCATCTGTGGATGAGAGTAAAGTAGGTCTAATGAAAGAAAAAAGGAAGAATAAAGTGGAGGTAAATGCAAACGAAAATCTGTTAAGGGAGATGGGCTCTGAGAGCGGATCCTATATATTCCATATATCCATATATTTAAGAAAGGATGTCAAAATCTGAGAAGATCTAATGTGAAAAGTCAGGACGTGTTAGATTTGGAGAAACTCAAATACCTGAGTATGTGCATAAATGTATGCTTGGTTGTGGAGAGTAGATAGTTCTGGCTCCTTCCACTGTGAATTTAGCTTGAGCTCGTTCCACAATAAAGAAGAAAAATGGCCCAAAAAGTACATGTAAAAAGATCAGCAGATGAGTGGAGTCGAAATGTACTGCTGCTCCACCAGCACTCTTACAGAATTAAATGGGACATCCACACAGTAAATGGCACAGTCAATCCAAAACGCAGCGCTGAGGCGGAAAATACATTCATCTGGCATGTTTAAGTTCTGTGGAATATTCAGCAAATTAAAATGGTGATAATGGGATATTTCAGCATGCTGATTCTTCCTGGTGGAGTGGTTTTAAATGGATGGCCAAGCCCTGGGTCTACGAGCTGGATAATGGGGTGATGGCTTGATAGAGGAGAGATTTGTCACACTGTCTGTGTTAATAAATGCCAAGCCGTTGGCCTGGGAGCAGCTTTCTGCCATCGGCTGCTTGATTTACAGCAGTCACAGGAGGGGATGAGGTACAGTGACACGTCAGGGGTCAGCGAGAACGGGCAAGCTGTTGATGGCGTCTGTGGGTTGGATGTTAATCCGCAGGTCTGAGGCTAGCTGTTGGCTGTGACGGATGGAGACAGAGGGTCATGAGAATCTAACTTATATAGACTGCACAGGGGTATTAATGAGGATGAGAGACGGTGCGTAACGGCAGGTCACATTAGTTGTGTGAGATGAATTCAAATAACTGTCTGAATAAAATAGCACGTTGAGGCCATGAATGTGCAGCATTATTTAACTTGCGCAGGGCAGGCTAATGTTAATGACAAAAACAGTCCTTATAGCAGTATGTTCTCTTTCATTTAGAAATACTAGTGTTTTTCAACTTAATCTCTATCTGCTGCATTTGTTCACCCACAGCAGGTGCTCAGGCCACTTCCCACAGCTTCTATTAGAAGTGAGTCAGAGTGTTTTCTTTCATTTTTTGGATATTTACCCAATTTAGTCATTGCCAGTTCTACCCTCTAGAAAGGTTCTCCCCTTATCACATGATGCTGCCAGGCTGGGGGGAGTGGAGGCTAGCATGAGCTTCCTCTGAGACTTGTGAAGCTCCAATGCATCTTTTCAAACTTTCACTAACGCAACATCACTGGACAACTCAACATGCTTGGAGGAAAATGCTATCTGCCAATTCTGTTATGCCAACTCACAGTGGCTAGCATCGCACTGAGTGATGGAGGGTGAGGAAGACTGTCCCTCCACCCAGAGAGAGAGGGAAAGGCCTGTTATACTCTCTTGGACCCCAGGCCACGGATGGCTGTGGTATCACTGGGGACTGAATTTGGAAGCACCCAACAAGAGAACCAATGCTTGTGGCACTCCAGGTTACAGATGTGGCAGATAAAGATTAAGATGAAAAGCTGGAGTATTTCTTTAACAGTCTGACTAGGAATGCACAGATACCGATATGACGTCCAGTCCTGGCCCAATACCGTGCTCATTTACTTATACTCAAAAAATTGCACAGATACCAACATCTGATACCACATGACGTTTTAGTTTCAGTGCACAGTGTGGCACAAGTTAGCAAAGCTGTTGTAGCTCAGTTTTTCAGCGTATTTGCTCAGTCTTCTGGTGCACAGCATGTTATTTTGAATCTGTCTGTAAGGCCTGCTTTTAACATGGCATGTCAGTCAGACTGACATTTTCACACAGTGCAAGCTTATAAATCGTAGGCTTTGTCTGCACATGATGGTCTATTCAAACGTACAGTGTCGGTCACCAAAGAACATTTCTAAAATCTCAGTGTGTATGTCTGGATTTAGCGGACGTTCAACTACAGCTCAAGCAGTCGAAGAAAATTCCAACAAGACGTAAAAGTTGACAAGTAAGCTTCTCGGATGCGCTAGCCTTGGATGCGATTCTGCTGTCACTGTGCTACAGACACTGTTGTTGAAACAAATGAGGAGTGTAGGATTAAAACTATGATAAGTAGTTTACTTAAAGCTGTACAAAAGTGGCGTGGAACAAAAGCAACTCTTCTTCACTGCAATGCTACTCAAACCAAGGAAACTAATGTAGCACAGCTGGCTAACCTACTTCATTTAAAATGAGCTGTTTAACTGTTAAGGTTCAGTGGTCTCATTAACACCAACTACTACCTCATTCAAAGCAGGTTACTCAGTATGGTATTGGAATCGTTATCAGCAAGTACCTAAAAACATGTACTCATACTTGTACTCTGTCTGGGAAAAAATAGTATTGATGCACCACTACTGAGCATGGCTTGTTCTTTGACTATACTGAAAATCAGAATTCTGGCCTTACATTAAGTCACCTTATTGAAAGACTTCACCCTACTGAAAGACAGACATGTGCTGATATAAACTTTATAACAATTACCTAACCTTTTATCATGGTTTACATCACAAATTCATATTTTTTTTTCAAAAATGCCACACAGGTATGTTCTGAATGTCATGTTTTCAGGTGTATACATGTGCAACATACACAATAAAATCATTACAAACAAAAAAGATCTACATAATGATGCTCACTGTTTGTCATTATCATACAGGATCACAAGCAGTTAAGACTGGAGCGGAGAACTCTGCCATAAAGCACTGAGACCTTCATCAAGAGCTGTGAAGTTGCCCCAACAAACAGCACCAAATAAAACATTGAACATACAACCATTACCTGTAATGTACCACCATAAAAATAGCATATTCTGCATTTTACCAAAATGCCACACATATCCTCTACTGAGAGGAGAGTCATAATGGTTTTGTCTAGTAGGGCAAGGTATATGCTCATCAGGGTTGCACAAACACAGTATATTATATTGTATCAAACTGTATCACAGATTGGGACACTAAAGCACAGCTTCATTTCAAATACTCTACTTTTATAATGTTAAATGCACTAATATATCAAAAACATTAACATAATGACCTAAGGCACATTTTTGAGCCACTTATTTTTGCTGTATCGAAAATGTATCACCAATGTATTGCATCAAATTGAAAAATGAATTTTGAGAATGGCTTTTCTTCCCCCGATGGTCTGAGGGTTAGAATAGTCCACCAGTAAAACTGCAAGTTTCTTTGAAAAATGGTGGCATAAAGATTAAAGTAAATAAAAGTAAAACAGAATGATATTAGTGTGTGGAAATAAAATTTGTTCTGTACAAGCATCTGTATTTTTAGAGAAATATACCATAGAATATGTTTAATATATTGTGTATTACCTTTAACAAACACATTCAAATATTTAAGTAATTGTCTTGGTACTACAGGCTATTTACAGACAAAATATCAGTTAATATGTAAATCAGCACATACATACTGGTAACTATTGGATTTTCTCCAGTTCAGCATTGAAATGGGTTCCAAAAATCTCATAACAGTTGGATGCTATTGTCTCGCCTCTAATGCTTAAATTCACATCTCATTGCCTTCAGAGACATCAAGCTCACACCAGGAGCTGAATATGGTAAACATTACATTAGCATCAGACACGCTGAGCAGGACCGAACTGCAGTGCCTGCAATGCCCCTACAGCCTCGGTTATATGCATGGGTCTGTGTGCAAAAGCACAATTGCCTCTGTTCTTTGAGGACTGGTTTGGGAGTCAATGATTTGCTGTAAAAGTTCATAAACTGCCACTTCAGAGCGAGCGCGCATATTCTCGTTCAAACTGCCAATTTGGACCTTAATGGTCCGCGAAGAGTGATTCATTTAGCAGCTGTTAAGCTATTTTATCGCAACTCAGGCTGCCATCTTCCCTCTCACAGAGCGCTCGCTGTCTGCACGTTCCCACTTGGCTCAGTGTAACAGACGAGAACTTCCGAAAAAAGGGAACACTCCATTCCGATGACTCGGGATAGTTTCCCTGATCATGTCCCGCCTCGGTGCTTCTTACATCTGCTCTGACGGAGCTGCTGGGCCGGCTAATTCAACTCTCCCCATCGCGCTGCAGTTGGATTGGAAAAGCGAACGCGCAGCGGATCTCAATTAGGCTTCTGTCTGCCTCCTTTCTCTTCTCACTCGAGCTAGCATATGCCTCGCTAGCGCCCTCCGTTAGTGTTTGTTTAGAAGGCCAAGCCTACAGTAAGACTGTAACGGTGACTAAATAGATGATGGAAAAAAGTTTAAGCCAATATGGCTTCTATTGTTTCTCTACATCATAAAAAACAATACTGCTTGCTGCACAGACAGAATGGCAAAAGGAAAGGGGACATAGAAGGTATAATGGTTTGCTGAGTGATTAGTGAATAAATATTCAATAGATCCATAATTTATAGATATAATTGTTCACTGCAGCCATAGCGTACAATGTCTATTTGAGATTCTTGCTCTCACATTTATGCTCCCGACAAGGGCTGAATGATGTGGGGGTCAAATTTAATTGCAATTTTTCGTGTCAATATTGTGTCTGTAATTTACAAATTTACATTTGTTTTTCTGGCTTTAAAGCTCAAATACTGAATTTAGTGTGTCAGACAGTAGAGCTTCATGATTTGGGGGACATATCTAATTACGTTTTTGTCTAACCGATATTGTGACTAGGATTTAAACTGTGATCATCTATAGGCAGTTCAAAAGCTCTGAGTTACATTTCCCCACTTAAAACTTGTTGAGACAAGGTTGATAATATTGTAGGGTATAAATCAAATTGCAAAAACTGCTCTTTCAAACTGCGTTTTTGTATCTGAAAACAATCTTACAGCACTGCCAGAAGCTAAAGTTCACCACATAAAACTTGCAGGCTATAATTAAAACAGAAACTCTTGCGATTCGAAAATTGCACTACTTCTAATTTTGATTTCAATTAAAAAAATAAATCAATAAAAAAATCCCTCCAAGGGGTTGGTGTAGGACTGACTGTTTGGCACGGAGGAGAAGCCCCCTGAAGAAACCATGACAGCCACAAAAAGTCTAGGCTTCCATGGGTAATAGTGTTTCTCTGCTGTTTATATAGGCAATTTGGAACAGCGGTGCAAGCTCATTTAAGAAAAACAATGTTCCACTTTCCCTCTAATCCTGGATCAGCTTTTTTTCCTGTTATACTATGGACAAAGCTAACACCGCAACTGCAGCTTGATATGGTACAATAGGCAGAGATTATTTATAATATGACTGATCAACTACTAACCTCTTAAAGCTGATTCATAATTCACACACAAACGTCTTATTCATTTCAGTGGAGAGCTCTGTCAGACCCACACGGCTCAGGACTTGCGGTGTGCCAAAAAAATTTCAGTAGATTTATAATTCTGTCAAATGAGTCTGACCACTACATTGTTATTAGCCAATCAAGGAAGGGCAGACTGGCCTTCATCAAGAAAGTCAAACATAAAACTTTCTCCGAAGGTACAGAGGGGCAACAATTGCTGTCTGTCAGTTCTTTGAATCCAAGTCTTACAAAATAATGAATGACTACTTGGTTTTATACAGTGAAGATTTTGTAGTTTGTAGTTTACATTGTTCAAGCAAGAAGGCAAAATAAAAAAAAAAAGTATGGAGCTTGTAAGTAACTTGATAAGTCTATATTCTGTTCTAAGTGTGAGTTTTTGGTGTAACATTCAATAAAAATAAAATGCCCTAGATTTATCTGATATGGTTCACATTCATTTCCATCATTTTCATAATAGAAACGACACAGAAACATCCACAAGCAGCAAAAGAGAAATGTGGTGTGGCACAATCGGGTAAAAATAAAAACAAGTACCAAAAGCATAGTTCAGGCCATGACCTGCACACCTCAAACATCAACTATGTAGCGTACGAATCTGAGAAACTGCGCATCAAGCAAACGCTGATTGGCTATCACGAGGGTGGGAAAAGATCAAAACACACACGTCCTTTTAACAGAATCACCCCCGACTGGTAAACCTGGTGCCAAAAATACCATAATAAATGTACTGTCATCCCTCCTGCAGTAGAAGCATCTGCACTGATTGAAGGTGAAATGCCATGAGTACCGTGTTCTTGGAGGGCTCCCAGGGTTCCACCTTGCTGACGTCTTGCATGTCCTGGAGCTGGCGTAGCTGGGACAGCGTGTGGTGACGCAGGGCCTCGTGCAGTGGCGTGTCCCCATCCTTGTCCTGCACATCCAGCTTAGCCTCAGCTCTAACCAGCAGCTGCACATCAACACAGAGAACTCAAATTAACTCAGCTGGAGGAGCCACTGAGCCTGTAAATGAGACTCCTATATGAGCCTATTTACAGGCATTCTAGAATGTGAGAGCTACATGGCTTACTTTGTACTTGGGAGAATAAAGGGGTTCTATTTATCCCTATAGAACTGTATAAACATGAAAACAATATCGTAAACATGTAAAAAAACTGAGAAATTCAAAGGATTCAAGCTATTTACCCAATGCACTTATCCAGAACATAAGTCACAAATTTCGATCAAATTCCAACATTAAATGCACATATACACAAATTAATAATGCTTGAGGAATGCATTTAAATCATAGGGTAACTAAGCCCACTAATAGGGCTGTCAAAGTCATGAAAGTTTAGCTGATAATTAAATTACGATTAAAGATTTAACTAAGATTTTTATTTTTTTTTTTAACTAAAGAACAAGCCTGCAGTGGCCAAATTAACTATTTAGCCATCTTGCTTTCTAGCTATGTTTCCTAAATTAAATGTCTACGGTTACACAGATACATATGTAGTGTTTCCCAAAGCTGCATTTTTTACTTGAAAATAAGTGAATATATAAGCAAAAGAAAGCTAGCATATATGCTAAAAATGCTACAATGAGCAAGCTAACAAACATTACTTGTGCTGCGCTCTAAACATGTTAGAGCATCAAGTAGTCATGAGGCTCATGATGTGTCTCAATGTATGCATTTTGTCCTGCTTTCTTTTATGTATATTTATTTGCCTCAACCCAGCACACCCAATTCACGTTTTGCTGGTTGCAGCGTATCTGAAATCTAATGACAGTAGAAAATAACTGCAGTCAGCTAAAATAACTGTGATCAGTTCAAATAACTGCAATTAGACAATTATGTAATAATTGTGACAGGTCTACCCCCAAGATAAAATGCCCCCCAACATTATTTTCTCTCCAGGTCAAATGGTGGTGCCGAATGTAATCTCAATTCACATCTAATCTTAACTTATCTAAACTCAATTGATCTAAACTCATTTACTGACGGGCTAATTAATGAGGGAAGCTAGTCTTATTAATTCTAATACTTCATATAGACGACTGCATGGTGACCTGTGCTTTAATAACAAGTTGTACATGAAAAGCTGTTGTCATGGGGCTTATGGAGAAAGCCATACACTAGGTTTTGAGAGAAACCCCTCTCCAGGTGAAAGTGAAAATTTAGATCTTAAGGGAAAGACATTCCACCAGACACAGGGCAAAAAGACCCCTTTAACAAACTGCCTCAAATACATTATTCACATAATTCATCATATTAAAGATGCAAAGCTGGAGTTTCACTGACTGCTTGGCATTAGCATTACAGGCTAGCTACAGCGATCATTAGCTTTTAAAGACTTTTGTGCTACAAAAATAAAACAGTTTGCTGTTCCAGTTTACTTCCCATAACTATGAGTAGGCCACACTGTCCTGCATGTGCTAAATCCATCCACAGGTGTGATTTAGCTTTACAGTAAATGGTCACTGTTACTCAGAAGACTTTCATCCCCTATTATTATAAAAACCTTTTTATTATACATAATTTTCCACGTTGGAAGCTGTAGATCAAAACAGAAATCATTCCGGACATTTCATGCTAGACTCCACTGAAGAATGCAAGTTCCTCCACTGTCACTAAATCAAGAGATGCAATCCTCTGACATATCCACAAGATGGCACTCTTCCCACCTTTCCCCTCGCATGTCTTCTACCTCAGGACTGAACTAATTGAATGGAATGGGCTAATTCTACTGCAGGAGGCTGTGCATCTTAAAGCCTTGCTCGGCTCCTCTGATGGTTACCTCTCGTATGTGCGCAAGTGTTGGGAGAAGGACGCCAGAACAGGAGATGAGAGATGGGTAGGGGTGCAAAAATGGACCGTCACATCAATCAGAAGGTGCACTGATTTCATGTTAGAATGGATTACTGTTATATTTAATAAAGTAAATCCTCTTATTTTGGACAAGAATTCTCATGATAATGTAAAAGTGATTAAAAAAAATGTAAAACAAAAGCTTGGCCTATTGTTTCATCTACATCTCACCATAGTACATATAATTAGTGTCTTTCTTTCTTTTTTTTTTTTTTATTCACTCAATTCCTCCCAAATTTTAGTTATTATCTAGTCCAATCACCTAGATAGGTCTCCCCACAACACAGTGCTACCAACCTGGAAGGGTGAGGGCTAAGTAGAGTGTATCTTTAACCACTTTGAAATTTGAGATTTCTTTATGCATGAACTTGTTTGGAAGTAACTAATTTGGAAGTAACTAAGAGATTTGTAACCCTAAACAACCCTTCGGTCAGCAGGAGAGGGAGAAAGACAGGGAGATGGAGCTGGGAGAGACTGCTTACCCGCACGATCTGAGTGTGCTGCCGCTCCACGGCCAAGTGCAACGCCGTCTGCTGGTTTACATTCTGTATGTCAAGACTGGCACTTCCCTGGAAGGGAGAACGGCAGAGACAAAGATTTAGCCTGCAGCACTTAATCACATTTGGCTGAGTGTGTTCTGTCTGGACGTCAGCTCTCTCACGGTACAAAATACTTTCAATCAAACCCCATTAGGGAGATGGCATAAGCATGGATCCACTACCAATGGACTAGGCAATAAAATATGCAGCTCTGTGTGAAGAATAAAAGTGTAAAAATGCATGAATGAAGCTATGTTTTGGAACATTTTAAAAGATTATAATTAAGTATTTGTTCATTTCTGACCATAATAAAAATTTTTGAAACATGGATTTTCTGTAAATAATCCAAGTAACATATGTCTATTCAGCAGATTTTTAAAAATTATTCTAAACTGCAGTAAAATAACCAATCTGTGGTGAAATTTGAGGCTTTTTGGAGCACTGAATAACTTACTAAAGAATCTAAAGTGAACTTACACCACTAGAAACCTGCACAATAAATAACCTTTCTGGATGCACCTGACCTTTAACAGACAAATGGGATGGCTATCTTCACATATGCACCTTACACATACATTATTCACCCCCTAATCACCCATTTTGAATACATTTGTTTTGCATTGCATGATTCACACCACTGCTACGAGCATGCTTCGAAAGCTGCTCCCACAGGCTGTGTTCAGAAATGCGAGCTATTGGGCCGTAATGGTAATTTGTATTCAGATATTCCCTGGATGAAACCCCTTAGCAACACAGCCTCTCTGCACTGCTGCAGTGCAGCTCCTACTGCGGCTCAGCAGCGGAGGCTAAAGTCACTGGTGTGAACCCCCTCTCTCCCTCTGCCTTCCTACCGGCACGGCAGTTAACAGACAAAAGGGACAACCTGAGCCAGCACGGCAGCCTTGCACTGCCGCTGGAGTGTTGCAACAGCGGTGTCACTGAGCTGTGACACAATGCTGAGGCAAAAAAAATGTGGTGGTGCACTACGGTGGGCCGCAGGGAAATGCTCAGTCAATGTGACTTTAAAAGATGCAGGGCATGTCAATTGACCTATCCAGGCTCTGCTCACAAATACACCATTTTGTAGAAAGTGCTGTAAATACGAGTTGAAATTAAATCATACACAATAAATGTAGCCATTTAGAACACAATGTTTTCATTTTGTAGAAAAAGAAACTTAGTTGTGTGCTACAATTTCTTATTAGGCTGAATGGAACTCCTAATATTCTGTAAAGCTTGTCCAACCTAGTTGGAAAAAGTTGCTATGAAAGCATGCATAGACAGATTAATTCAATAGCTGAATCAGGGCCCAGATTCACAAAAGTATCTTAAAGAAAACCTTAATGTTTTTTTTTCTGCATTTTCTTAACTTCATTCTTAAGAACAATTCTATTCAAATCAAGTTGTATTCTTGAAAAAAAAAATCTAACATTTTCTTAACCTCACTATAGCCTCACACTTATCTTAGACTGTAAAAACTGATGAATTGATAAGGAAAGCCTGAGTTCCACAATATAATTTATGATTATTAAAATAAACCATGGAAGATTTTTTTCTGTTGGCTATTTCCTCACAATCACTTATCATTGTTTGCTATTTTTTATAAATATTAGGTTTCATTCTGTATTTCCTCTACTTTGTTGTCCTCTGACAATAAAATTAAACTGAATAACCAGTTAACCCAAATAACACTTAATTCAAATCCAAAATGTATTGCACGTCGTTCATGTCAAGCTAGAAAAGGCAACATGATATCAACAGGCTCTATGACAAAAATAAATAAATAAAAAGCCCCCATAAGAAAACAAGATCTTCTTAAGAAAAAACTTGATGAAGCTTAAGAAAATAATAAAGACTTTTTAAAAGAACATTTGTGGGCTTTTCTCAATAATTGCATTTAAGAACACTTGGTGGTTGGTGCAGTGTAGTGTAGTGTAGTGTAGTCGGTAACACCTCTGCCTTCTACGCTGTAGACTGGGGTTCAATCCCTGCCTTGGTAAGCACCCTACACTATACCAATAAGAGTCCTCGGGCAAGACTCTTAACACTACCTTCGCCTACCTATGTAAAATGCTCAAATTGTAAGTCGCTCTGGATAAGAGCATCTGCCAAATGCCGTAAATGCGTACATTTGCACATGTTTGTAGCTGCAGGCCATGGTTTGAGCTGCACAGTCCAGAACTCTGTTGTTCTTGCCCTTTTGAGCCACAAAGCAGGGTTTCTCAGTTTCTCAGTCAAATATCTTAAGGATAAACTCAAGCTTGCCCAAAAAGGAGAAAAGGGACACTGAGATTGGACAATCCTCACTGGGCTTAAGCCATCCAGCTGTACTACTGAATTCTGCCTTTTGAAATACGTCCCTGACGCGTAACTATATGTACATCTTATGATGTAAAGAGAAAATCTGGTTACTGCAAACAGTGACGCAGTGACACAGCAGGCACTGCTCTACAAAGAAAAAAAAGTGTTACACATTGTTTTAAATAAAGCTAAAAGCTCTTTCTAGCTGATTCTTCACTCCTTTCGCTGCATCTCACACGCAGTGAATCTCTTGAGTGCCATGAGAGTTCCCAAAAAGAGCTTTTGTAAAACTATAATTATCCTAACTGGATCAATTACCAGCCTTAACTAATGCTGACCATTATATGTGCACAAGTGCTTTCACACTTCTAAATGGATTGGGTAAACCTACTGGATTACTGGTACTGCGGGATGGGTTATAAGGCATGTATAGCGCGCAGATTTTTGTTTCTGAGTGGCTACCTGGTGTACTAGAAGTTCTGCCACCTCCACGTGATTGTTCAGAGCAGCCAGGTGAAGGGCAGTGTACCCATCATCCTTCTTCTCATCCACTATCCAGGGCCTGGGCAGTTTGGACAACAGCACACGCATGGCACTATGTGAGAGAGACACAAAAGAAAGAGAGAAAGAGAAAGGGAAAGTTATTTCCTGAATACAAATTTTCTTAAACCAGGGGAAACACAGTAAACTTACATACAGCAAGTGTGACTTTTCAGCTGAAAAAACGTGATTTTTAATCATTTAAGGCAGACGCAAAAAAGGCGCTACTTCTGCAGTTTTATCTACTCTTTTCCGTTAATTACCCCAGTAAAATTATAAGCTTTTGAGGTGTTCTGCTACCATCTTGACGAATATTTACTTGGACTGCAACCATGACAATGAATCATCAGTTTCGGACTCAGTGTGAAAGACAGCATTAATATGCATGTGTTCGTGCTCAAAACCTGATGCATGCGGATTCGGTATGAACACGCCTTGATAAATCTTTGCTAAAATGTGAATTCAAAGCATAGTCTTCTGACAATCTCGAAGGATCACAGCAAAACAGAGGACGTATGATTTTAAACAATCTAACTAAATAAAAAAACGGGCAGAAAATATACATGAACTAAAGAAACGTTTAGCCTATGAAGAGAACATAGATGTTTCTATGACCTAATACCAGTCTGTGTTAATGGAGAGCTTGCTGTGTAGGATTTGAAGGTTATATGGAGGGTACTGTGCCCCAGGAAGCAGGGAGAGAGATTCTGCAGAAAAGCCGATGGAGTCTGGGATCAGCTTTCTAAACCTCCTCCCAGATCCTCTCTATTACGAGCAAAACACTGAGGCTGACCCTGGATCAGACACTAGGGGCAGAGTGTGCGTCTCCAAGCTGCATGGGAATCTGCACAGCAGCACCTTGTAATGGGAGAGGCAAGACGAGCCTCGAGCATCTGACAAGAGAGACGAGGGAGAGGATCGTTTACAGCTCACGAATCGGGGGGTGGGTAAAAAGAAGTTAGAAAGAGGGTTGTTTATGATATTTACAGCACATTCCATTAACAGAATAATCCAGAAACTTCATTTGCTTTATCTGTATTGTACAGTCACTTACCATAGACAATTTTGATGTGTTTCTCTGTACTTAGTAACAGAACTCGTTGACTTGAAAAACACCTACATTTGAAGCCAAAGGGCAGTTAATGCAGCACCTGCTCACTGGCTCCAATTATAAGTGTACAGTATAATTAACTATACAATACAGATTTGGCAGAAAGAAATTAGCTTGAAAAATGCTGGAATAAATATACTTAACATTACATTCAGGGAGCAATTTTTTTGGGATGGACTAATGTATATTTATAATAATATAATATAAATTATAAATAATGCATTATACTGAATCACTGAATTGCAGTTATTGAGTGAGTGAAAAAAAATACCACTGTACCTCAAGACATTCTCAATACACAACGTGCACCATGATATTTAGTTTTTCTAAACTTTGATAAGTTGGAACCATTAATGCCACATGTAAAATAAACACTATCAAAACTATGAAAACAGTGATTTTTATTCCACATTCCACATTTTGCAGTGCTCCGAATTCAACTAAACAGGCCTAAATTATGCTCCTTTCAATGAAACATGCAGTTGGTCAGTGTTCTATACTGACACCACTAACAATATGTGCAGAAAAGCATGTAATTTATCATGATAACAATAAACATTGTCATACTCCTATTTGCAGCATATCTTACTGTATCACAGCCAGCGTGTTAGCATGGGGCTGACACATTAGTTTGTAGCTATAACATTAGACCAGGACACTATGTGGTTCACATCGCTGGAAATCAGTTTTTGACTAGGTTTTAAACCAAGACTTGAGCCAAATCAAGATGTCCAGCAAAGTGAGCAGGAGAGCAGGGACAGGATGCAGAGAAAATAAAGAAGGGGGAGAAGAAAAGAAAAGAATGTGTAGTGCAAACAGATCAATATAATGCCGGTGATGAGGCAGGTAGTGGAGTTCAGCAGCCTCTGGAGTTGTGCTTTAGCTACAGGGTGGATTCTGCTAAAGCCAGTGTATGTTCTTTTTTTTTTCCTGAGAGTGAGCGAGAGTGAGAGTAAGAGAGAGAGAGAGCGAGAGAGAGAATGAATATCAGCAGCAGCACTGTACACACTCTGAGGGATGCAGAGCCAGGCAGCTGTACTGCAGTGTGTACATGCTGTACACAAAAACGCACATAGCCTAGAGTGATATTGGAACACTGACTTGAAAATCTGTCGTGTAAACTCTGGTCCTCATCTTGTGACCACATTTCCAGGGAATGTGTAGCTTTTGCAGCCTTAACAACAAAATGGTCAACTATTGCACGTGTATGCCAGTATGCATAACAGTTTTAATGTCACATTCCTACATTCCCACCAGCATCCCAAAATGCTCCAAGTTATTCCCTTGGCACAAACATCTGTAGACGCCCATTTGGTTTATTCTTTTCTCTAGCGGTGCACTAGGCTTGTAAGAGCTGAGCACTTGAAGTTCACTGCTTTGGCGAAAGCCCTGCAATGATGGGACAGCATCCCAGAAAGGAAAGGTTCACTGTTGGATAAAGGCAGTTAAAAGCCTTGCCATCCTGATTGTTGGTCACATGTCCCAGGAGCAGGGCTAGCCTGGTATTAGCCTGGATGAACGGACAGCCCCTCCGCTAGCTGGGAGGATTGACAGGCTCCCTGCCAGGCCGGTAGAAATAGGCGGGCATTAATATTAATTCAGCTTGCTGGCACTGCTGCATTGCAGTTAGCTTGTCTGATGGACAGGAGTTCAAAAGAAGCAGGAATTGCAGGATTTTGAGGCAAGCTCCGCTTTTAAGACGCTCTAGAAAATTATACTTTGCTTGGAAATGGAATTTCCCTTTTTGCAAAGGGGCTATTTTTTGTCAAGCGTTCTGCTTTCGATTTGCCTGGAGTGAGGCAGGGATGAGATTGGGTGGGAACAAGGTTAAGGGATTCGCTGACAGGGAAACTAGCAGGTTTAAGAGGCCGTCAACGCAGAACGATAGGGGAGAAGAAAAAGAGGGAGAAGTGAGGTGAAGGAGAGGCGTGATGGAACTGGGTCACCCTGTGAGATGCAAAGGTCCCTCAGGAGCGCACCGGCGGCCTGTTGTCTCAGGCAGCCGCGCAGTAATTTGTCATAGAGCGGGAGCTCGCTGCCGTTGAGAGGGTAGCGCTAACGCCATGTGATGCTATGCCATCTTTGAGGAGGCCAGGCAACCTCGCTGAGGCAGCAGGGAGGGAAATGATCACAAGGCCTAACCTTATGTTGAGGCAATCGCACTCAAAACGAGTAACTATACCCAAGTATATCCAAGTAATCATGAATACTGATGATACATGTAGCAAAGAAATATTTGGACAGGGTCGTGTTCTCCCCATTAAAGCGGCTTGTTACAAATACCAGTACTCGCACTGTTATTCAAACTATCATAACAGTTTGTCAAGACATCTGTTTTGTCTCAAGGTCAGATGAACATACATTTTGTACCGAATGCTAAAGCAAAAACTGATTTGAAAGGCTATAAAATACAACACAGCGGCACTTGATTCTTTTATATCTGCTGCCATTTGTTTATTATTATTAAAAGCCATGGAGAGAGCAACCTGATTGCTCCCTATGTAAGCACACGCAAGAGACACATGCATACAGTTTTCAACAGTATAATGAGGGCGGTTAAGGACTAAGGAGGGGAACCAATGGCTACCTAATAAAGAGTGGTTTGTTAGGAGTCGTGGCTTGCATAATTTCCTCTTCAATGTGACCTTCCTCTGCATTCATCTTCATTCGTCCAGTGGGTGTGTGCTTTGATTTAGCAGTATTAGCATAAAACGTGGGTTCCACCTTTGAATTTCTAAAGAGCTGGATGTTGCCACTGAGCAGTCTACACTGTGATCAGTGCGAGCGTTTGTATTCTTAGGCTGGCAAAAGCGCAAGGTCAATGGAAAAGAGCAGCTTGCATGACACCTCACTTTAACAAAGCATTCACTTAGCATTACAGATATGTCCTTCTTACACAAATCGCTCCCAGTCAACGAGGGACCCAATGGCACAGTAATATCCATGACCCAATTATATATACTCTGCTCCTCCAGGCATGCTGATAAAAGACTCGTTCCTTTTAAAACTGCTTCACTCTCATAGCAACAAATTTGAACGTCTCGCAGACCTTAAACCAAGAACTACAGGAAATAATTTGAGACGATTCTTCCTACACAGATAATGAAGTTAATGACTAACTGAAAAATGAATCATGTCACCAACATGCAGGTTGCAATACGTATTAGGTCTATGTTTCTAGTGATAAAACACATTTTTAAATTAAATGAGAAAAGAAGGAATTCATTCCAGTGGGGTTTCATATATATCGTCGTTGTTCCAACAAAACCTCATAACTCCAAGATCATGCGTTTTCATACAGTGTGAGCATATAAATCGTAAGCTTTGTCTGTGCATGATGGTCTATTCAAAGATACAGTGCGAGTCAACAAAGAATAAGGTTTCTAAAATTACACATTTATCTACAGCTAAACCAGCCAACCAGCCAAAAAGACTCTAACAACGTAAACATGAGCTCTTCAGACGCATCAGCCTTGGATGTGATTCTTGCTGTCACTGTGCTACAAAAACTGTTGTTGAAAGAGACAAATGAGGAGCCCAGGATCAAAACTATGAAATGTACTTTACTTACAGCTGTACAGAAGCGCTTCTCTGACATGAAACAAAACCCACTCCTCTCCACAGCAACACTACTCAATCCACAGTAACTAATGTTAGCAAAGCTAGCTAATGCATGTGATTTAAAATCATCTAGATTTTAATGATTTGACAGTTAACGTACAACACACTCATTTGCCCTATCAGCAACTTAATTCTAAGGAGGTGACTTAGCCTTTTTAACCCCTTGGATCCACCGGGGGTTCAAAAACACACTTAGTCATATTCTCTACATTATAACTTTCATATTTCACAAGTTTCATTCAGATGGTGTCTCTTCAGTGATCTGCTCTGTAAAAATTATTTTTATATCTAAGATTTTTGGCTTTCAGTGGTAAATTGTAAGC